GAAGCCGCCGCCCCGCTCCGCGAGCCCAGGGCCTGGAGTCGGGGAGCGAGGATCCGGGCTGGCTGCGTCCATTCTCTTTATCTCCATCCGAAGGGAGTGATGCCGGGAACGGGCGTCTTTTCCGAAAGAGTCCTCACCGTGCTTAGTCCCTCCCTGGCTTTTCGCATCCTTTCTGGGTCACTGACAATCCAGCTTTCTCCTGCAAAGCAATCTGGGAAAACTTGAGTTGTGCTGTCCCCAGAGTTGACAGGTCCCTTCTGATTTTAGATTTGTGGTAGGTACGTCAGGTGGAACCTGCATTTTCTTCCTCTTGGCGTTGGGCATCTTTGAACTGGAGATGAGAATGGTTTTGTGGAGAACGTGTCAGTTTATAGAAATGCCTAGTTCTCCACCCATATCCACCCCACCCCCAGGGTTGTTTTTGGTTTTTTGTTTTTGCTCGTGTTCCCCTCTGGTGATGGCTCCAGTTTAATTAGAAGCTAGCTAATAACATTTCAATAAATACCTCTGCATCCTTACACTCCTAACCAGTAAAAAGGTCTCCCTTCTGTGGATCTGTTTTTCTAGACCATCCTTGGGGAGACACAGGAAGAGGAAGATGAGATCCTTCCAAGGAAAGACTATGAGGTGAGATCCTTAGATGCTTTCTTGGGTAACTAAAGTAGTAAGTGGCCTGGTCACTTCAGACTGAAGCAGTTGATTCCAGCCAGAGTTGCTCTTTGACCTTCTATCCCCGAAAGTAAGTGGTAACAGAATTTGGCCTACCAAGGATCTGTTCAATAAATACTTCTGTCATCTTAATCCCCCAAGTCTGATGAGTTTTGCTGTTTTGTTTTTGTGGATTTTTGTTCATTTGTTTGTTGCACAAGTACTGGGCTTTAAACAAAGGGCCTGGGCTCTGTCCCTTTCTTTTTTGTCCAAGGCTGGTGCTCTTTCTCTGGTAGAATACTTCCCCCAACAAGTAAGTGGCACAGAGTACAAACTCCAGTACTGTGGAGCTAGATGTTGTTGTGACACAACATTCTAGTCCTAGTCCTCCAGAGCTTGAAATAGGAGGATCCCTTGAGTCCAGGAGTTCCAGATCAGCCTGGCCAAAGATTTCTCAAGCAAAAGAATACATGTGTGTTCAGTAAGGCTGTCAGAGGGAAATTGACTTATCATTTAATCAGTTCATGATGAAACTTCTTTTTTTGGTGGCATTTTACTCTGCCTCTAGCCATCATGAGTTTTTGTTTGAATTTTGAAATGATATATACAAGCCATGATTACATAAAGAATTATTAAACTACTTATGAAAAGAAGATAGAAGCCAGGCACAGGTGGCTCATGCCTGTAATCCTAGCTACTCAGAAGGCTGAGATCTGAGGATCATGATTCAAAATCAGCCTGGACAGGAAAGTCCATGAAACTCATATCTCTAATAAACTACCAGAAAACCAGAAGTGGTGCTGTGGCTCAAGTGGTAGAGCGTTAGCCTGGAGCTGAAGAGCTGAGGGACAGATCCCAGGCCCAGAGTTCAAGCCCCATGACTGACAAAAAAGAAAATAGCAAATGACCCAGTTCTAGTCCAACTTAATAACAATACAGTGTCTATTTTGTTTTTGAAATAGAGTATCATTATGTAGCTCAGGCTGGCCTCAAACTCTCAGTCCTCCCACCTATGCCTCCCATCTGCTGGGATTAAAGGTATATGCTAGCATACACCTGGTGCTACAAGATTTTAAAGAACAGTATTTTATTGTGCCATAATTTATTTGATCCTTCTTTAATGTTTGTTCAACTTTTCTGAAATGAACTGCATTGTGGTAAATGTCCATTCTACCTTGTCTATCCTCAAGTTTTTCTTTAGGGTGAATTCTGAATTCTGAGAAGTAGAATTCATTATGTTTGTTTTTTTCATCGGTCGTGGGTCTTGAACTCTGGGCCTGGGCACTGGCCCTCAGCTCTTCAGCTCAAGGCTAGCACTCACTCTACCACTTGAGCCACAGCGCCACTTCCGGCTTTTTCTGATTATGTGTTGCTGAGGAATCGAACCCAGGGCCTCATGCATGCAAGGCAAGTGCTCTACCACTGAGTCACCTTCCCAGCCCTGTTTATTTTCTTAATATCTCAATTTTTGCTGGGTACTGGTGGCTCATGCCTGTAATCCTAGCTAGGACCTGAGGATTGCAGTTCAAAGCCAGTCCCAACAGCAAAGGCTGTGATACTCTTATCTCCAATTAACCACCAGAAAACCCGAAGTGGTGCTGTGGCTCAAAGTGGTAGAGTGCTATCCTAGAGCGAAAAAGCTCAGGGACAGCACCCAGGCCCTGAGTTCAAGCCCCACAACCTGAGGAAAAAAATTAAAAAAATTGTTTTTGGTGCCAGTCCTAGGCCTTGAACTCAAGGCCTGTGTGCTGTCCCTGAGTTCTTTTTGCTCAAAGCTAGTGCACTACTAATCTAGCCATAGTGCTACTTCCAGCTTTTTGGTGATTAATTGGAGATAAAAGTCTCAACTAGATTTTTCCTAGCTTTGAACCACAATCCTCAGATCTCAGCTTCCTAAATAGCTGGGACTACAGGCATAAATCACTGGCGCTTGGCTTTCACCTTCCTTTTGCTATAGAATTTTTGATTTGTAGTATACCATAGAATTTTTAAACTTTTTAATCATGAAGAACTTCAGATAGGTACACCAAATGGAAAGAATGATATAGAGTCCTCCTGTTCTATAGCTTTAGCAGCCTTTATGCTCCTGTAGAAATGATTTTACCTGAGGTGTTTTTTTGTTTTTTTTGGTCAGTCATGGGTTTTGAACTCTGGGCCTGGGCACTGTCCCTCAGCTTTGCAGCTCAAGGAGAGTGCTCTAGGACTTGAGCCAAAGTGCCACTTCCGGTTTTCTGGTGGCTTATAGGAGATAAGAGTCTCACGGACTTTCCTGCCTGGGCTGGTTTTGAACCTCAATCCTCAGATCTCAGCCTCCTGAGTAGGTAGGATTACAGGTGTGAGCTACTGACACCTGGCTAAGTTTCTTTTAATTTATAGTTTTCTTCATCCTTTTGTTTCCTTATAATTTGTTGGGCAGAATAATTAGGATTCTGGAATATTCTACTGTCTGTATTTTGCCAGTTGTGGCACCATGATATAGTTTAGTATTTGACTTTAAGTAAATTGCTTTTTTTTTTTTTTTTGTCTCCTGGGGCCTGAATTCAAGGCCTGGGCACTGTCCTTGAGCTTTTGAGCTCAAGGCTAGTGTTCTATCACTTTGAGCCACAGTATCACTTCAGATTTTTTGGTGGTTAATTGGAGAGAAGAGTCTCAGAGGGGGCTGGGAAGGTGGCTCAGTGGTAGAGCATGAGGCCCTGGGTTCGATTCCTCAGCACCACATAAGCAGGAAAAAAAAAGCTGGAAATGGCGCTGTGGCTCAGATGGTAGAGCGCTAGCCTTGAGCTGAAGAGCTGAGGGACAGCGCCCAGGCCCAGAGTTCAGGCCCCACGATCAGACAAAAAAAAAAGTCTCACAGACTTTCCTACCTGGGCTGGCTTTGAACCTTGATCCTCAGATCTTAGCCTCCTGAATAGCTAGGATTACAGGTGTGAGCCACAGATGCCCAGCTAGCACTTGTTTTAAGCCAGGCTCAGGTGGCTCACTCCTTTAATCCTAGCTACTCAGGAGGCTGAGATCTGAGGATCAAGGTTCAAAGCCAGCCCAGGCAGGAAAGTCTGTGAGACTGTGAACACCAATGAACTATTCAAAGAAGATGGAAATGGCGCTGTGGCTTAAGTTGTAGAGCATTAGCCTTGAGCTGAAGAGCTAAGGGACAGGGCCCAGGCCCAGAGTTCAAGCCCCACAACCAAAAAATAAAAGCATTTGTCTTTTTATTTTGTTTTGTTCCTGGTATTAGGCCTTGAACTCAGGGCCTCACACTCCTTTTCTTGACTTTTCTCGTCATGGCTGGTGCTCTACTGCTTAAATCAAGCCTCTAGTTTGAGCTTTTTGCTGATTAATTGGAGATAAGTCTCTTGGATTTGTCTGCTTAGGATGGCTTGTCTGCTTGTTCTGGCTTTAAACCTGGATCTTTAGCTCTAAGCCTCTAGAGTAGCTAGGATTTCAGGTCTGAGCCACCAGGTGCCCGACCCCATATTTCTTAAGTATGTAGTTGCTTGTATAGAGTTGAGATGTTCACAGGAAATTAGTATAAAGTACTTTTTGTTGCACAGTATTCCTCTACCCTCAGTTGGGCCCTGTCAGTCATCCTGAGTGTGCTACCAAGACTGACTGCCAGATGTCTGAAGCCTTCTTCCCACTTCCGGTTACTCACCAAGGCTTTTCCAAAGCCCTTACCCCCTCCCACCACATAATACTTGTTTGCAGTGCACTTACCTTAGGCTGACATGCATATTGATGTAAATAGCATGGATGAATGTCCTTTGATTTGAGTTGTTACTATTTTCCAATTAACCATCTTTGCCTGAGAACTTCTCCAGGGCATTTGCTTTGTATAAGAGCCCATTAGAGAATTCTGCTCAGATTTTCTTTGGTGTCAACTAGAAAATCCTCTGTTAAGACAGGTGGCTGAGATCAGCCCCTCTGGTTTAGAAAGATCCGGGAGACTGATTAACCAGTAGCAAAGTTGGAAGTGGAGCTATGGCTCAAGTGGTAAAATATTAACCTGGAGGGGAAGAAGCTCAGGCCCTGAGTTCAAGCCCCAG